TTTCCATAGTGGCTGCACCAGTTTGCGTTCCCACCAGCAGTGCATGAGGGTTCCCTTTTCTCCACATACTCTCCAACATTTGTTGTTTCTTGTCTTGTTAATCGTAGCCATGTTTATGGGCATGAGGTGATATCTCATTGCAGTTTTGATTTGCGTTTCCCTAATAATTAGGAATGTTGAACATCTTTTCATGTGCCTGTTGGCCATCTGTATATCTTCTTTGGAAAAATGTCTGTTCATATCCTCTGACCATTTTTGGATCGGGTTGTTCATTTTTTTGTGGTTGCTTTGTATGAGTTCTCTATATGTTTTGGGAATTAACGCCGTGTTGGGTATATGATAATCAAGTATTTTATCCCAGTTGGTGGGTTGTCTTTTCATTTTCTTTTCTTTTTTATTTTTCTTGTGAGGAAGATTGGCCCTGAGCTAACGTCTGTTGCCAATCTTCCTCTTTTTGCTTGAGGAAGATTGTCGCTGAACTAACATCTGTGCCAATCTTCCTCTATCTTTTATATGGGACGTCGCCACAGCATGGCTTGATGAGCAGTGCGCAGCTCTGCACCCAGTATCTGAACCTGAGAACCCCGGGCCGCCGAAGTGGAGCATGCGAACTTAACAACTATGCCACCGGGCTGGCCCATGTCTTTTCGTTTTGTTGGTGGTTTCCTTTGTTGTGCAGAAGCTTTTTAGTCTGAAGTAGTCCCATTTATTTATTTTTTCTTTTGTTTCCCTTGCCTGGGTAGACATGGTATTTGAAAATACACTGCTAAAACTAATGTCAAAAAGCTTACTACCTGTATTTCCTTCCAGAAATTTTATAGTTTCAGGTCTTACATTTAAGTCCTTACTCCTTTTTGAGCTAATTTTTGTGTATGGTGTAATATAGTGGTCTACTTTCATTCTTTTGCACGTGGCTGTCCAGTTTTCCCAACACCATTTATTGAAGAGACTTCCTGTCTGCATTGTATGTTCTTGGCTCCTTTGCTAAGACTAGCTGTCCATAGATGTGTTGTTTTATTTCTAGGCTGTCGATTCTGTTCCATTAATCTATGTGTCTGTTTTTCTGCCAGTAGCATGCTGTTTTGATTATTATAGCTTTGCAGTATATTTTGGATTCAGAGAGTGTGATACCTCCAATTTTGTTTTTTTTCCCCTCAGGATTGCTTTGGCTATTCTGGGTCTTTTGTTGTTCTACATAAATTTTAGGATTCTTTGTTCTATTTCTGTGAAGAATGTCATTGGGATTCTGATTAGGATTGCACTGATTCTGTAGATTGCTATAGGAAGTATGGACATTTTAACTATGTTAATTCTTCTAATCCATGAGCACAGAATATCTTTTCATTTCTTTGTGTCTTCGATTTCTTTCAACAATATTTTATAGTTTTTAGTGTACAGGTCTTTCCTCTCTTTGCTTAAACTTATTCCTAGGTATTTTATTCTTTTTGTTGAGATTGTAAATGGGATTATATTCTTTATTTCTCTTTCTGCTAGTTCATTACGAAGTGTATAGAAATGCAACTGATTTTTGTATATTGATTTTGTACCCTGCAACTTTACTGTATTTGTTGATTATTTCTAATAACTTTTTGGTGGATTCTTTAGGATTTCCTATATATAGAATCATATCATCTGCAAATAGTGACGGTTTTACTTCTTCGTTTCCAATTTGGATTCCTTTGATTTCTTTTTCTTGCCTACTTTCTCTGGCTAAAACTTCCAGTACTATGTTGAATAACAGTGATAAGAGGAGGTGTCCTTGTCTTGTTTCTGTTTTCAGAGGAACAGCTTTAAGTTTTGCACCATTAAGTATAATGTTGGCTGTGGGTTTGTCATATATGGCCTTTATTATGGTGAGGTACTTTCCTTCTATATCCATTTTATTGAGAGTTTTTATCATAAATGGATGCTGTATCTTGTCAAATGCTTTCTCTGCATCTATTGAGATAATCATGTGATTTTTATTCTTCATTTTGTTAATGTGGTGTATCACATTGATTGATTTGTGGATGTTGAACCATCCCTGCATCCCTGGAATAAATCCCATTTGATCGTGGTATATGATTCTTTTAGTGTATTGTTGTATTCGATTTGCCAGTATTTTGTTGAGGATTTTTGCATCTATATTCATCAGCGATATTGGCCTGCATTTTTTCTTTCTTTTCGTTGTCCTTGTCTAGCTTTGGTATCAGGGTGATGTTGGCCTTGTAAAATGAATTCAGAAGCCAAGACGTGGAACCAAGCCAAACGCCCATCAATCGATGAACGGATGAAGAAAATGTAGTATACACACACACACACACATATATATGTGTGTATATACAATGGAATACTACTCAGTCATAAAAAAAGACAAAATCGTGCCATTTGTGACAACATGGATGGACCTTGAGGGTATTAGGCTAAGCGAAATAAGTCAGAGAAAGACAAACACATATGATTTCACTGATATGTGGAAGATAAACAAACATGTGGATAAGGAGAACAGATTACTGGTTACCAGAGGGGAAGGGGAGGGGGTGGGCAAAAGGGGTAAAGGGGCACATATGTATCATGATGGATAAAAACTAGACTATTGGTGGCAAACATGATATAGTCTATACAGAAACTAAAATATAATAATCTACACCTGAAATTTACACAATGTTATAAGAGAATATGACCTCAATGAAATAATTTAAAAAGGACAGCATAAAGTGATACAAATTCATCATAAAATCTTGATCCTGAAAAAGTAGCATTGGCTAGAAATGGATCATTTGATCTTTTTCTCACTGGTATCTGTAAAGATTTTCTGATATACAATGTTCAATCTGGTATATAAGGCAATTCTATCTTGTGAAGGATTTGATGTGTTGCTTACATTTAACCTCACTGGATTAAATACATTTACAGAATTGGTAAAGCACACTGTTGATCAATATAAGTTAAACTGGAAAATATTTAAAGGAATAACCAGTGATTGAACAGAAAATATAAATGGAAAACATAATAGAGATGCTTTAAGAAAATTTAGAGGCGCACAATAACAGTGATTTTTAGAATCACACTGTTGCCCAATCATACCTACCAAATCTCATTGAAAAACACAGTGAAAGATGTGAAATTTCTTGTGAGATGTCAACTGAACGTTCAGTGTTTGAAAAACTTTGTTCCTAGATTGAAGTTACCATTTCTGTCTATCGCATCACATCAAAATTCTGGTCACAGTGCTAAGCTTGGTGTAGACTGAGGTATGAGAATCACATTTTTCTAACTGAAGAGCAATCTGATTAGGTAAATATTTTTGAAGATAATGCTTGAGTGAGAAATTGGCATCTTAGCTAATATTTTTGGCATTCTTAACAAAGGAAATTTGAAACTTCTAAGGAAAAACAAAGATTACTTTATAGGCATTATTGTTATGGCATGGAAGTCTTGGAACCATTTGACCTAGCTACTAAGTATGTGTTCTCAACTTTGTTGCAACTTTTGAAGAAACATTCTGCCTGCTTTGACAGCACATGTTCTAAAATTGGAACATACACAGATTAGCATGGCCCCTGTGCAACAATGAGAGGCAAATTCATGAAGCTTTCCTTATTTTTAAAACAAAACAAGGGCCGGCCCCGTGGCTTAGCGGTTAAGTGCACGCACTCCACTGCTGGCAGCCTGGGTTCGGATCCCGAGCACGCACGGATGCACCGCTTCTCCGGCCATGCTGAGGCCGGAGTGAAGTTTGTTAATCAGTTTCCAAAGTATGTCCAGACCAGCGGCATAAGCATCACTTGGAAACTGGTTAGAAATGCACATTCTCAGATCGTGCCCCAGACCTACTGAACCAGGCCCAGTGTCTGTGTTTTAACAGCCTTCCTGGATGACTCTGATGCATGTTAAAGTCTGAGAAGCACTGGTGTCAAGTCTTTACCTGGAAGGTATATAACAGTCAGGGGTCTGCTTAGTCCTGGAGCTCAGGGTCTTGAGATAGCCTGGAGAAGATGATATTTACATGACTTCTGCCTGGGCTCAAACTGTGATACTTGCAGTATTTAATACTGTGGAATTAAAACTGGAGAGTGATGGGAAGGCTTCCTTCTGACATCTGATCTCACTCACAGCCCAAGGTCTATGGCACAGGGAAGACAAGAGTATGAAGAACTCTGCTGTTTTGTTGTTCCCAGAGCCTCAGCTGCAGAGTGTCTATGACTGAGAGAGATATACACATACTAATAAGAATAAACATAAAAATACAGATGACCAAGGAGAACAGCCTCAAAAAATATAAAGTACATAAAATGAGTAAATAAAGCTTTGTAAAAATTCACTAGCTCATTATTATTTTTCTTATTTTCCTATGGACTAGAGAAAACTTCAACTTTAATTAGCCTTGATTTGAGGTCCAACATTTTGTACTAGCACCAGCACTTCAGATTGTGCCTTCAGGGCAGCTCTCTTATCTTCCACACTGGATATTCAGAGAAACTCCAAGAAGCCATTTGGGCCTTTTTCATTCCTTTGTTGTCTCTCTCTTTCAAAGCAATATTCAAATAGAATTTTCTATAATATCATGGCTAATCTTTTATAATGTAAAGCTAATTGATTGAGGTTAAATACTATTTTCCATCTCCATAAATAAAGGCTAAACAAAGAAGGCGTTTCAAGTGCTCTTCCTCACAACTCACACATCATATAGATTTGGCTATAAACTGATAAATTAGTATTCCATTGTATTTTGCGGAATAAGCCACCTTCTTTCATGATCACTAATTATACAATCATCACATTTTCATAGCGCAGAGTCATATCGTGGAAGAGAGTTTTTGTATCATTAAGAAAGTTCATTAGTTAAACAATTACAAGCACTTTATAGCGTGGCATTCTCTGCTGTTTGCTTTGCTCTCAGGTGCCACATACCTTTTGTCTTTTGGGCAGCTTTAGTGTTGTCTGACTTATAATACTACAAGATATCGACCTGGCATCTCTGATATCCATTTCTCATTCTTTAATATCTGAATTTGCAGAAACTGAACGAGCCAAAGAAGAGACTGGTATTGCCTCAACTAAAAAAGGTAAATATAGCTTAAAGAAAAAGATATCATGGCTATAACTTATTTCTGCTAAGGTTTATACCTTAATTTATTGTTTAGTGCTTATAGAGCGCTCTATTTATTGATTTTGCTATTTCATTGATATGGAAACAAATCCACTTTGCACAAGATTTATAGTATCTATGTTAACAAAGCTTTGTCTTCAGTGTTCTAACATGAATAGTTTTATTCCTTTAGGGCCATAAACTAAAACTAGTAATTGTGATTCAATTGCAAGCTAGTTTTTGAAAAATGGAAGAAATGCAGCTGTTTAAACTCAATAGGATCCCAATCATCTGGAGAGCATTCAAATTCAATATACCGCCTTAGGAAGTTAGGGCTTGAACAAATGAAACTTTGACTAGTAGAACTTAATAATGTTCACTTTAAGCATGAATAATACAAAATTAGAAAATGTGTTCCTTGGAATACTCAATTAGGGACATTTTGCTTTAAGAAACATATTGGGAAGTTTGAAAGTTAAGTTTTCAAAGCTATTTCTCTTGTCATGTCTAATTGGAAGCAACTAATTATGTGAATATTGACTTCTTTTAGGAGACATTTTTAAGAACATTAATATACATTAAAAATAATCATCGTGATGAAAAGTTTTACATATTCCCAATTCAAAATAAACTGGAACAATTCTGAAATTTGTGATTTTGTTTGTTTTACAAATAGACAGAAAAGAAATCAGTAATGTAGCCAATGTCTTTGAAACTATCTTAAGAGACAATTTAACAATCCTATACTTAACATATGCTCACAAACTTACACATACACCCTTTCACACATACTCCATCAAAACAGCACAACATCTTTCTCCTAAAAAACTCTCTTATTTCATATACTCAATAAAGAGAACATATATCAGGACTGCAGAGAGATATAAAATGTATATGACACATATCCACATGCTCAATCCCAAGCAATTTATATATATGAATATAAAGGAATACACGGGTATAAATTAATAAATATAAAGGTATATATTAGTTAATAAATTATAAGATAAATTAATATATATATTAATTAATATATAAATTAATGTATAAATTAAGGTACAGAAATATATGTCTAAGGGAAGACAAAAATTGGATAAATGATACGTAAAGGAAAATATAAACTGTATTGTAAGGTAATACTTAATTAGAAGCTAGAGTTCCTGAAATTAATGGATGCCCTCTTTCAAATACAGCTTTATACATTCTGAATTTACAGTAGATAGGAATAAAATCTGTTTTCTAATCAGTTCTTTTCCTAATAACCTAATATCTGTGATGTCATTTTTTTTATGTAAGAGATCACAATACGTGTTTCATTGACATCTTTTGCTAGGTATCAATGTTCCATAAGTGGCAGAGTCATTAATTCACCAAAAGTCCATATTAATGAATCTCATTCTTTTGTGATGTCTTATTTTGAAATCAGCTCTGCTTGTTGGCATTAAGTGAAATGTGGGTAAAACCTGGTTGCTTCAGAATGGATAATGCCATGGTATCACGAAAAGGCTAAGGGTCTAAATACAGATTCAGAAAAGTCATTAATCTGGAGATGGATACAAGTGTACCTGGGCCCTGTAAGTGAACATAAGGCCAGGATATTGATATGTGTTAAAAGCAAGTACAAAAGTGAGGCAAAGTTGTGTTCAAAAATCTATAGTGAGGCCAGTGGGGTGTCCAAATAGCAGTATGTGAGTTTCATAATTAGATTTCAGATACTGAGCCTTAGAGAATCTCTGATTGTGGAGGACAGTCTGCAGAGTGAAAGGAAAGATTTAAATACCGCTAGCTAAGCCACGCACAGACTCTGAATCACTTGGAGTCTGGATATTTAGGGTAGAAATACAAACACACATAGTTTGGAGTCCAATCATGTCAAATTGGAAGTGAGCAGAGAAGCTGAATTGAGAATGAACCCTCAATCAGTGAATTTACTGGGATCTTCAACCAAGAATGGTCCCTGAGTTTAGAGTAAGGCCAAACATTTTGGTTCAGGGTAAGTACACTGATTGCTAGGCTTAGAGTGAAACGGAAGAGAAATAATCTGTTTATGAAAACAAAACTATGGGCACCAACTCTTTGTCTATAGTTAATCTTAGATCTCATACCTCAATTCTTAATTTAAATATGATTCTGCATACGCGCTTTGCCTGCAACTATAGCATGCACAGAAACAAGTGCTCCTTCCAAAGCTATTATAAATATTTTGAAACTCAGGTTGGGCTTTACCAATTTGACAAGTTTCAAAGAAAAGTCAAAGGAGACTTTTCTCATTTGTCAAGTAGTTTTCTTGTCCCCTACCTCCTCACTGACAATCAATCACACTATCGTGGTGATCATTTCGGAATGTATATAAATATCGAATCACTATGATGTACACCTAAAATTGACAGGATATTGTATGTCACTTGTACTTCCACAAAAAAAAGAAAAGAAAAAATATATTGTTTCATCATGTATTTAGTAGCCTGCCCCTAATCTCCACAACACTTAGTGTACATTACAAGATGTCTATCTTTTATTCTTTCATAAATAAGTAGAATAAGAAAGTGATATGGGGATTATTTTTATTATTAAGACACTGGAAATTGTTCTTGTACATTAAGGCTTGAACTAGGAACTGTGTGTACAGTGTTAAGTGGAAATTATTGATTTTGTGATTGTATTAAAATTTTCAAAGTTAAAAAATAATTTAATATTTTAAATTAATTGCAATGTGCCAATGTATATCTAGTATAAGTTGTTTACTCCTGCTTTTAAGTCAGTTTCCTTGGAGATATATAGTATTTAATCATCGATATAATAATCCTCTTACTAATTTGTATTTGTTTTGCAGCTTCCAAATCATTTCACTTTCATTCAACATATATTTATGAATCACATAACAGGATGCAAACTTAAGGAAAAATTTCAATGTTAATATCGTTCTTGAGAAATTTAAAATACGGAAAAATGTGAATCTTTATTGAGTCACTGAGTTGTTTGAGCCTCAATTTTTGCTATCAGCTAAAAGTTTTTCATATAGTCATAGTTTAAGATTGAAAGCCAACTAGGTAAAGAGATAAATACAGATAAAGTTTCAGAGGAGTTTAAAAATTATTCCTACCTGGGTAAAGCAAAAGGTTTACTATACAAAGTGACTTTAGATTTAAGCCTTAAATAACAGGATTTTGTCTTATAATAGTTGGAAGGGTGTCTTGGGCATAAGTAACAGAGCAAGGCAAAGTGGTGGAAAATTACAGGATGTGTATGAGGAACACCAAGAGTCTCAAGAACAAGGTATGAATTAATACAACCTGGGCTAATAACATTGTAAAGGGGCCTAATTTAAAAATTGACTTTATTCCATGGGCAATAGGGAGTCAATAAAAAGTTGTAAGTATAGGAATAACACTGAGACATTTGCTTTAGGAAGAGGCAGGCTAGTTAGGATGCTTTTGCAATAATGTTGGAGACATGTATTAGGGTTGGTATTAGGTTATGAGATTGGAAAGGAGGGATATTGTGTGAACACTATTATAGAAGTAGATTCAAAGCAATTTGACAACTGACCAACTTTGGGAGGGGAGTAAAAGAGAAATTATTTAATGACAATAATAAGTTTTCAGACTGGGTGCTAGAAGAATTTTGTAGATATTCTTAATAAAAATGAAGAAGAAAGATGAACAGTAGTTTGGGGAGGGAAGATAAGATTAATATCAGACATATTTAAGTTAAAGTGCTGTGGCACATGCAAGGAGCATCATGTAGGTTGCTCTAAATGTAATACTAGAGCTCCAGAGAGTGGCAGGGCTGGAGATATATATGCAGGTGCCCTCTGAGTGGGGTTAATGGTGGAAACGGTAAGAGTCCGTGAGCTTGTCATGAAGACATGGCCTAGAGAGAGAACAGGGCTGGGCCGGAATGCTAGCGAACATTTACATTTGGTGAAAGAAGAGCCAGGACGATCAAAGAGAAAAAGCAGAAAAAAGTGACTAGAAAGGTCAGAAGTTAAAAAAAATAGAAGTAATAGTTTATAATGTCATAGTAACCACAGAAAAAGAAACCACTTCAATGACAAGGTGGCGGTCACCAAGTCATTGGATTTGTCAACTAGATAACTATTAACAATTTTCAGAGGAGAATTTTCAGGGGAGTGGTGCAAATGAGCTAAGGATGAGAAATTGACTGAGGGAAGGGGAAGTGAAAGGTATGGGCAATGATGCTGAAGAAAGTGGGCTGGGAATAAAAGGAGAACTAGCATAGAAGTAGCTTGGTGTTCTTGTTTAATCAATAGCCATCTCTCTTTTAATCTTAGAGGTAAAGTGTTTATCCTTCTCTTCACGACCAGCTTCTCCACTTGTGTCCTCCTCAATCAGTGGTCCAGGCTGTTTTGTGGCATCATCCTCTTTCTTGTTATTGGCTTTTCCTCTTATTTTGGAAATATTATTCTCAGTTTCAAAACTACTTTTTCTTGATTCTCATCTCTCTCTCTACCATGTTCTATTTACCATTTTCTCTCCTCCACATCTTAGGCAGTCTTCTGGATGCTGGAATACTAGCACTGCTTCTCATTTCCCACAAAGATGAAACTTCTGTCGCTATGGTGTCACTGATGCTCTGGCTAATGCTGATGACATTATCATTGCTAAACCAATGGAACCATTCCAGTCCTCACATTACTAGCCTTCTCAGCTGCATTTACCATTTCGTCTCTCCTCTAAGCTTCTCTACTGTTGGGTTATCATGACAACATAGTCTCCTGGTTCTCCCCATATTCTCTGACTTTTATTTCTGACTTCTTTGTGTTTTTTTCTTTTTTGCCCCTTAATTGTGGGTGTTCCCAGATTCTATTATTAATCCTCTGAACTATTAGGCCTCTGAACTTCTCATTCTATACCATCTGTTTGCAAGATATGTCTGCTTTCAAGGTTGAAACTCTGCCCTATATCTTCAAGATTGCCGATCCTATGTCACCATTTCAAGACTTTCTTATGAAAAGGCTTTTTCCTGAAAATGTCTGGCTTGTATGTTCAAATGTCCAATAAACACCTTCAAATTCAACCTGTCTTAACCTAAATTCCTCATTCCCTCTTCCCAACTTGCTTTTCATTATCATTGGTGAAACCACAATCCACCCTCTACCTCACTAGAAATCTGGGAGTGATCTTTGATTTTTCTCTTTCTCTCCTTCACCTGATTATTCAAAGAATCTTCAAGTTCTGCTGATTTTATCCCCTAAATATTTCTTGACTATATTTCCTCCTATTCATAACCATGACTTCCATCTTAATTCAAGCCTTCATTATCTTATACTTAAACCACTGTAATAATCTCACCACTGCCTGCATGTATTTATTTTTATTTCACAAAGATTCATCTTCCCAGAACCGCCCAACAGTCATAGTAAATTTTCAAAGTCATAAAACCGGATGAACCACTCATAATTTAAAACTCTCTTTTTTCCAGTTGTCCATAAAATCAAATCTAAGCTTGTTAAAATGACATGAGTCCCCCAGGGTCTGACTCCTATATCCCTTTCCAATTTCATCTTCAGATACGCTAGGTTTTGAATGCTACAACAATACCGTATTGCTCATAATTCCAAATATACCAGAAGTAAGATTCAGGGAAGGTGGTAGCAGGAAAAGATGTCCTTGTGAATAGACTGAGTAGTTAGCATCATCTGAGAAGTGATAAGAAGACGCTCTTTCCCATCTCTCCATGATAATATATATACAAGGACCCTTATATCTAAGACGTAAGACTTTTTCTTCCACCATTAATGTTTAGTCCATTGTTTCAGTCATTGATATCTCCAGACAGTACCTTTAAAACCTGAATAACTCTTGGGCAGGTAACATTTCATTCCTATGTACTTGGAAATAAGTAGTTTGTCTTGTTAAGGCTGTAGGCTACATCTCAGAAGTAATGTATAAATGTCATATGGGGGACATTTCAAACTGTAAAATACTTCCATATCACATGTCACTTCTTTACTAAGAATTTAACATACCCACCTCCAAGTTTGCCTCACTGCCCACGTACAAGCCCCCATTGCTAATGGGCATACATCAGAACCTTCATAGGTGGTGAGGGGCAAGAAAGGAGAGAATTGTATTGGAGAATTGGATCCCTAAAGAAAACTGAGGGGAAAATAATAAAATAAAAGCCTGGAACTACAGAAAACCAATTTCTCCATCTCATGGTTTAGCTCAGGACTATCCCTAACCCAGACATTACTTTCTAAGATTGTTAGTCACTTTGTTTCCTTTATATTAGCTGGGATCTCTGAAGAAGTGCAATACAAATCTCCCTTTTTTCCCCCCTAAAGTAAACTCGCAAATGTAAAGCAAAGAGAATTTCTCTCAACCCCAAAGGCGGCTTCAGTTACCCTGTAGTATAGAAAGAGAAATTGATTAAGGTCTTCTTTTGATTCCAGGCAGTTAGAAAATCCACTTTCTTAGATGAGCTGTTTATTCCTAAAGTTTATTCTCCATAGAGTTAGGCTTGATGAATTTTGCATCAGAACCAGAAATGAAAGGATCATTATTTCATGCAAAATGTGTTCGCTCCTGTATAGATAATCAGAATTTTCAGTGACCTTGTCTGAGTTACAAAAAACAGTGCTTTAGGGGACTAGCCTACTCTACCTAATGCATGCAAAGAATTATGAACCCATCATTGAAAAGAAAACTTGATCTTTATCTGTAAGTCACAGTCTAATTGTTTTCTGAGAGACATTCACTCTTCAGAGGATTAAAATAAAATAATTGAAAAATACATATTTCCTACACAATATTTATAATGAGTCTTCTGAATAAAGTAATTATGAATAAGACTATATACCCATAGGGTTTGTTGTCATTACAAATTATCAATGTTTTATTTCCACATTGACTTGAGAGAGAATATTCGTAGACAAGACTAATGTACCACACACCTTACTAGCTCCTTAAAATATACATAATAAAGTCTAACTCTTTAGTTTGGAATTCAAGGCCTTCTGCAATTGGCCTCATCTTCCATTTTTAGATGATCTCATATGTCTTCTGTGGGAACCCTCTGCTCCAGCTAAACTTGTTTACTTTTGTCTAGGTAGACCTAAGGCTTTCCTGCTTCTTTGCCTTTCTTCACTTCTTATTGGCTACATCTAAAATCTTTCCTCCTCTAGGAAAACCACTAACAACAACACTGATCTCTTTTCTCTCTCAACTCAGAATATTTATTATCAATATGTCTCATGTGTCAATTAATACATTTAATTACAAAGCAAATGTATGTCAATCACTTGATATGTCCAAAACAATGCTAAGTTCTATGAGAAATGTTAACAATGCATTTTTAAATCCCCCATGAATCAAAGAAAAGACGACAGTGGAATTTCAGAAAAATGTTGAACTAGTGTATGACGTAAACATTACATTGAAACTTGGGATCTAGCTAAAAAATGTTAGAGTGAAATTTATACTCTTTAAAAATATTTATGAGAAAAGAAGAAAGGCTGAAAATCAAATATCTAGGAAGCAAATATTTTTTTAATTTAAATTAAATTTTAAATGAAACCCAAAGAAAGTAGCAGGAAGAGAAATAGAAAGCTAATGGAATACAAATTAAATAGTACAATAAGGAAAGCAACAAAGTCAAAATTAGATTCTTTATAAAAACTGATAAAATTGGTAGACCCTTATGAAAACTTATTAAGAAAAAAGAGAGAAGGCACAAAACAGCAATATAAGAAAACAAAAAGGGGGCATTACCACAGATCCTACAGATAATAAAAAAATAGAAAGTTACCAAAAATTAGTAAATTTTATTAAAATTTATACTTTGAATCCATAATTACAATTTGTACTCAAAGAAAATTCTGACCAGCTGGCTTCCCTGGTGAATTCTTTCAAATATTTAAGAAAAAATTAACACCAATCTTGCACCAGACCTTCCAGGAATAGAAAAAGAAGAAACAGTCCCCCATTTTATGGAGCTACAATAAGCTTGATACCAAAACCTAACAAGAACCAAAAAAAGAAATGAATCAACAGGCTAACTTCTCCTGTAAACACACAGGCATAGACCTAAACAAGATATTAGCAGATCAAGTCTGATAATATATGTGAAAAATAAAATGCAACCAAGTTGGTTTTATTTCAAGAATGCAATTAAAAAAATTAATCAATGTAATTAACCAGAATTATAGAATAAAGGGAAATTATATCCATCATAGTAGATGCATTTGATATAATTCATCACTAGAGTAGAAAGAAACTTCCATAATTTGATAAGATATATACAAACCATTATCAAATATCATACTCAGTGGAGAAAAATAGGAAGATCTCCCTGAGAATCGAAACAAGACAAGGATATCTGCTATCACCACTTCTTTTATACATTGTACTGGATATCCTAGCCAGTGCAATAAGGTGAGAAAAATATATAATAGGTACAAGAATAGAGAAGTAAGAAATAAAACTCATTCACAGATAAAACTATCTACTTGAAAAATTAAAAAGAATCTATAGGTGAACTATTATAACTAATGAGTGATTTTAACATGTTTTCTGTAAAAAGGTTATTCTTTCTCTCTCTCTCTCTTTCTGGTTCATGACATTATCAAAAGATCATGGTCAGTTATACTATAGACATTTTTGATTTCTCTGATTGTTTCTTTAGAATCTTATTTAATGTGTTCTTTATATCCTGTATTTGATTAAACCAAAAGCTAAATCTTTGACTTAACTGGATTCCAGTTTGATGCTTTGGCAAGAATACTTCAGAGGTGATAGTGTAGACATGACACTGCATGTCATTGGGAAGCACAGACTATCTGGCTGTCCTATGAAGAATGAATGGTTCTAGGTTTCATCAATGAGTTAATTTGGGGACAACCACATTTCTTCATTTCAAAGTTGCGTTTTTTCCCCCTTGCGACTCTGTGGGGTGATACTTGGGTTTGATTGCAATGTTCAGTTCCTCATTCATCCTTCATCTAAAGTTGCTGGTGTCCTCTGAAGATCCTTACTTGAATCAATTATTTCAATGGGCTACATTGATTTTGTGTGTATCATTTCTACTGCTTGGATGTATAAATAAATAAACAGTGAATACTCCACTAAGAGCAATAAATCTCAGAGAGAGCATAGTTGAGGGGAAACAGTACCTAAACAACAGGTTTATTTCTCTTTTGGCTACTCGTGATTTGGAATGACTTCATTTAATATTTAAATGAATCTCAAGCATGACTACACTGTCTTTTCAGTAGATTCAACTATTTTAAGCTTGAATTTAAAGGAGCATCTAGTTGACATTTTCAAGACACTAAATGACTCCAGCAATAACCTGGAATGTAAGTTGATTAATCATAATCCTGTCAAGTGCAATTCTTTGTAGAGCTTGTTTATCAAAGCAGAGTATAAAGTAGAAAAGAGTGCGGAAAAACTAGTAAGAAGGCGACAAGGGATTATTTCTTTTTTCTCTAATTCTTTAAGATTAGATAGGTTTCAATTGGATTATAGAGAAATGAGAAATGTTGAAAAAGCTTTACAATAGCTTGTTTAGAAGAAATATCTATCATTGAATGAGTTACAAAATGCTTTTTTGAGCAGAAGCTGAATTTCCATCTGGAACTTTTATTTAAACCTTATCTCTGCTTTGCAGCTGCACCTGGAAAGAAAGAAGAGAAAACAACCAAGACAGTGGAGCAAGGTAAAAAAAAATGAAGGAGATTGACATTATCTTCTTTAGAAAGACAACAACATGAGGAGAAAGCACTGGATTCAGACAGGCAGAAGACAATAACCTTTAAATCTATTTCTCTCTATGGCTGTCCTGGCACACTTTTCTCTGCCAGGGAGAACGTGAGGCAGCAATCTGGGCTTTTGTTCTTTTGTATAACTAAACTTTGAGTATAAGTTCAGAGCAGGAAAACTCCACAGGCTGCTTAGTTATATCAGGAGAAATGCTGAAGATTGTTGAAACAAGGAAATGATCCGGGGCAACTGGTAGACCTTTTTTCTGTTTAATTTGTGGTTTTAACACCACCTGACTGATCGTAGTTTAAAGAATCAAGGTGACACAATTCTATTTATGCAAAAACAATTTCTGTTGCCTGAAAAGTAATGTGTAAAAGTTAAAACAAAGGAAAACAACAACAATAAAAGTAAGTTATTTGAGTTTCTATTATGACTTCAGCAAACGATTCTCCCAAGTGGTCTGAAATTTCAATGCTATAAATCATAATGCTATAAATAATGCATTTTGTTTTTATTTAAGCAGCTATATAATAAATATATGAGTTCAGAATATGCTTGAGAAAAATGCTACAGCACAGTAGAGTTAAAACGTTAAACTTCTGTTAGAGCTCAGAGTGCTAATAATTTTATTTGGTGTTCCCCCTTTGGCTATATTATAATATCACAATATTTATTATTTATTAAGATAAATAATAAATAAAATCAGAATTAGCAGTAATTTTGTCAAGAATGAATTCAAAATAATTTCCTCTCAAATTTAAGATGCAATTACATTCCTAATATCAGAAATTGAGAATTTTTGATATAAATACATCAAGAAAATCCTTCATTCCTTCACATTTCAGATAAGTAAACTAAGATTAAGGATTCAGTTAAATTAAAAAAAAATTAGTCAAGGATTTATTTCCTTGAGGTTTTCAAAATAAAAATCACATTGAAAAAGTTTTTAAACTCCTTTTGGCTTCTGGGAAATGTGACCTGGCATTTTAAGTAGAGGAGTAGGAGCACTGGGTCCCAACTTGCAGCTTGTTCACTTAGGCAGGGTTCTGAGCTTAACTTTCTTCTTGGAAAAATGGAGTTCATTATATCTGATCTGCCTATCTGACAAGATGCAGAGCTCAAACAAGAAAACATATGTGAAAGGATATGAAAATCTAGGAATGCCTAGATAAGTGTATAGTATTTACTTAGGCATGTTTCCTTATAAAATCAGCTTCAATGTAGGTGAGATAAACTGTAAACTACTTTGATTTCACTAAGCTTCAAAAATTTTCTCCCCTCTAGTATAAAGGAGGTGATTGACTCATCTAACGGCATTTGTAGATTGCTTTTATAGCCACAGTGTATTAAGAGAAGATTGACTAGAATATGAAATGCCCACACTAATAATAGTAACTAACAGATAACTGACTTAAGTACAGATTGTCTATTTCTTCTTAGCTGCATGTTAGTGTCAGTTTCATTAATTCTATAATGTTTCCTCAATTACATAAGAGACTGGAAATGGCTCTTAGAGAGGTGAACTTACTCCTTCAGATGATTTTGTAAATCTTTTTTTTTATTAAAAATATCTTTTATCTTTTGAAAGCTTAAGCTCTTGGCTTATGTAAAAAAAGAGGTTCTTTCAATAGGTTTCTTTATATTGACTTAGTAAATCATTCAGTTTTAAATATTGTAAAACAATGGCCTCAGATTTTTCAACTATAAAAATCAAGAGAAACAGAGTATTTGGACAACTGGCATGTTTTTGTGATGGTATGTCTATGACTAATAATTGATATGAAAAAGTATATTTTGTGATTTTAATAAAGCAGGGAGTTTATGTGAGAATAAATCAATTAGATTCTACAGATTTATCATAGTATTCTAATATTTATTCAGAAGATGATGTTTTAAGACTATAGTGTTTTTCTCTTACCTGGTTTTTAGTCATCTTCAGGAGTATAAATAATCTGAAACTAGTTCATAATGCATTGAAATACAATTAAATAGCTTATAAAGACATTTTCATTCGAGTTTGAATTTGTGGTTCTGTACTAGGGAAAAACTATGATTTTCATAATTCTTAATAGATTTCAAATATACCTCGTGATCTATGTAAAACTGTGTATATTGAACCTCTGGACTTAGTCTGCGTTATACTTGTACTTGGGAAACATTGATTAAATTAAACTTTACATTATGAGAAATGCACATAGTGAAAAGTGGAATGAATTTTATGTTAACATAATTTAATAAATTAGATCTCATATCATAAAAGAGGTAGAAATTTAGTTAATCTAACTTCTGCAAAAGTCCAAAAATATAACTCCATTTTATCTGTAATTCATGATGAATCACGTGTTTTTCAGTTATTCTTCTCATGAAACGAAGATCTGAAAATTGCTAGACTAGAATTTTGCATAATAAGAAACTCTTTATAAATTCCTCCACTTTAAAGGCACACACCCAAACACACACACACACACTCACCACTAACTATTCCTCCTTGTTTAGAAAAGAATTACCTAGAAGCATCAGGAGATACAAATATTTCCACAATAAATGTTGGTATCCTTATAGTGACAGCAAAGGAAAGCCAAAGATAAAACATTATGACATGTGCTACAGTATGAGGATTCATCTTTATATATTTGTATATTATATCTGGAAAGAGTATATTACATTTCATTAAGCTTAATTTATTCATTTGTTGATATTTAATTTCTCATATTCAGTGTAATTTTCTTTCGTGATATTCCTTTTCAAAATTGACCTGCCCTCCTAAATCCCATTTCCCTCTTTCTTTTTCAATCTCACGTTCTCTCAGAAGAAAATCTTTAGTAATATTTGCTTGTTACTAGCCAGAGGAGCAATACAGTCACTCTAAGGGAGCATCCAGTGGCTTGTTACTTACTGGGGCAGGGAAGGAGACCAATCAAGACAATCAACTTTGAAGGTCTGATGTAGATTGGAGTCCCAGCATCTCTCTGTTTTTAATTTCCTTCCTTCAAAATGGCTTAAATCCATCAGTGAAAAGGTGAAGAAAATAGTAATATATTAAATCACTCACAAGTCATCTTCCCTTTCTTTCATTCACATCTGTGCATGACATCTCTTAAGACTTTCTTTCAGAGTCTGTTCTAAGAGCCTATAACAGTGCTGGCATACAGTAAGTGTTCAAAAATAATTGTGGGGTGAATGAAAACATAGAGGAATTGTTAAATAAAAGAATATTATGCGATCCAGACTTAATGAACTGTGCTTCTAAACACTGTGCAGTTAAGAGAATGTTTTAGTAAATCAAAATGTGATTTCCATTAGTGAGGACTACCAAATATTTCAGAAACCAGAAGATAAATGATTAGATCCTTCAACTACAGCCATTTCAAAGTGGAGAATAGTAAAGGAAAATTAATAACTATCCATCATTCATTAATTACATCATTATTGTTATGATCTTTGTAGATAGTGCTCTTACATAAACAAAACTGCATGTGCAGTCATCACCTGGGTAAAGGTATTGAAAATATTAAATTTTAGTAATTGCAACTATTATGTTGTGAATTTTTTAAAAAACTTAAAATGAAAGAGAAAGTAAAATAATTGCCCAATTAGGCCAATGTATGAGTCTAAATATAGAAAGGTTAGGCCTTATCCTAGCTTTTCTTATTTTTACAATTATGGAGCTGAATTAGATGATCTCCTACTCCTTCCAAAAGTAAACATTTTCCTTTTTTTTTTTTTGTGAGGAAGATCAGCCCTGAGCTAACATCCATGCTAATCCTCCTCTTTTTGCTGAGGAAGACCGGCTCTGAGCTAACATCTATTGCCAATCCTCCTCCTTTTTTTCCCCAAAGCCCCAGTAGATAGATGTAGGTCATAGTTGCACATCCTTCTAGTTGCTGTATGTAGGACGCAGCCTCAGCATGGCCGGAGAAGCGGTGCTTCGGTGCGTGCCCGGGATCCAAACCTGGGCCGCCAGTAGCGGAGCGCGAGCACTTAACCGCTAAGCCACGGGGCCGGCTCTAAACATTTTCTATTCAACAAAAATTTTAAGTAGTTATGTTCTTTACATCAGAATATAGGGGCTATTTCTTCTTTAGAGGAAGTCTGGTTAGAAAGACTTTCATTTCTAAGATTCTGAGATTCAAATGCTAAGGAAAAACACACTTTATGAACTTGAATGCTTATGGATACTTCAATATCCCAAAATTAAAGTGACAGTTTCATTACAGAAATATTAAGTATAGTTTTCCATCCTCTTAACAATTAAAAATCACTTCAAAATCCAGTTAAGTAGAAACATGACAGACAAATATTCACAAAAAAAGATTAGATAGAATTTGAGTGCCTATTAACCACCAATAATAAATTTGAACACAATTAGTAATCATTTTATTAAGAGTAAAATTGGAGCACGTAGATCATAAATGTATCAAATGCAGTTCATTTCCTGTAATAAAAAATTCAATTTTGCCTCAAATTAAGAAATGTTTATAAATTCATAAACACGCTAATTTGTGTCCACCTGAAGAGTTTTTGTCTTTCTTTGTCTTTGACGCTATTTTGTAAACGATGATACCCTACATAGTTGTATTAGTGTTTTAAATTGTCACAATAGCAAGTGAAACTCAAATGCTATTACATGCTTTGTATATTTGTCACTGCCCTTATCCACTTTTTCAGATTCTCTTATTCTTTGTACATGCACTGGTCTATTTAGAATCTGTGATGTGTACTTACTGTAGATTTATCCCATACTTTCAAGTGAATGTTAATTATATCTAAGAGTGACAATTTCCCTGAGAGAAACTTATTTATTTAAATAATGAATGTTTGTATTTCATGGTGTGTCAATGTTACAAAAAAAAAGAGAAACAATTTTACAATTAAAATCAATGGAGTAAAACTGAAAGTATAGTTAATACAAATTGTATTTAATTATTTGCTTAATATGTGATTATAAAATAA